ACATCTTGGATGCCCTGGGGGTAAGCAGATAAACATCAAATTCTCATTTTTAGTTGAACTATCCCTTTAATGGTGTTTTTTGACAGACACATTTTTGAGGTATTGCAACAGTTTAAAATATTTCAAATTGATTTTTACAGTTGGGAGCCGAATCTGGTGTAGACAACCCCAATCTGAAGGCCATGAAGACTGTCTTCAGGATCATGCCCTTTGTGATCCTCCCTATGACCATTAGCTTCCCCACGGTTCGTCTCTCACACTCCTCCCTCCTCAAGTTTTTTTTTTTAACTGTATTTGTTATGGGATCTGATCCGTCTTCTCTTGTCATGCTGTAATGATTTCCATAGTGTCATTTGATCTGTGTGTTTTACAGGCAGTGTTCACCTACTGGATGACCTCTAACCTCTTCTCACTGGGTCAGGTGGCCCTGCTGAGGCACCCGGTCGTGAGACAGAAGTTACGCATCCCGGAGCGCATCACACATCCACCTTCAGCGCTTCCACCCAATGAAGGTTTCATAAAAAGCATCAAGAAAGGTAAAAGATTTTTCTGCTTCATCTTCTGTATCGGTGTTACTTTAGTGTTATTTATATACTCTACTAACATAGTATTATAATTTTGAATCAACTTTTATTTCTATACTGAGATTTTATTGTAATTATAGTTCAGGTTTTAGTCATTTTATGTGCTTTTATGCATTTTCTATGCACTTTTTGCATTTTTAAATATTTACGTATAGCTTTTTTATTTCAGTTTTAGTAATTCGAGTACTTCAGTTTAAACTTATTTGAGATAGTTGCCAAGGTAATATTTCAAATTTTCATTTTCAAGTTTTTCATATAATATTTATAGTTTTTCAGCTTTATTTCAATTACTGAAAATGGCATTTAATAGTTGTAATTAACAATAACAACACTGTTCTGTATCTGAATCACTTCTATTTGTCTTACCATTTTGCTCTTATACTCTCTATATAATGTTTCTGTATCTGTTCACCTCAGGATGGACGAATGCCCAGTTGGCTCAGCAGCTGGAGGAGAGAGAAAGGAGAATTAAAGGACACCTGGATATGGCAGCCAAAGGTGAGGGTTTGAAAACCTAGTGAACTGCCTATGCTGTCTCCTGCCTGCACTACTGCTCAAAATACAAAAAAAAATCTTTACTTTTCTCTTACTTTTTGGTACAGAATGAAATTTAAGTGTATCTTGTTGAAAATATTTGTACAGGTGCATCTCAATAAATTAGAATGTCGTGGAAAAGTTCATTTATTTCAGTAATTCAACTCAAATTGTGAAACTCGTGTATTAAATAAATTCAATGCACACAGACTGAAGTAGTTTAAGTCTTTGGTTCTTTTAATTGTGATGATTTTGGCTCACATTTAACAAAAACCCACCAATTCACTATCTCAACAAATTAGAATATGGTGACATGCCAATCAGCTAATCAACTCATTTCACAATTTGAGTTGAATTACTGAAATAAATGAACTTTTTCACGACATTCTAATTTATTGAGATGCACCCGTATCTCTTTTGGCATTCTATGAATGTGTGCGCAGTTGTGAAGCGATATTTAATGTTGTTTTTTGTTTGCTGTTCAAAATTTCCATTTATCCCTGCCCCTTTTTTTAAAGGTCCTCTGAGGCAGACTTTTACCCATAACCCCCTTCAGCAGTCAGCAGCACCAATGTCGACAGGAAAATCAAGTAATTCGAAGCAAGACAAGAAGAGGCCGTGGGAAGACACGATTGGTTAACACCTCGATGGAGAATTGTGAAGGCTTTGTACATATGTATTGAGAAGGAATAAGGCATGGGTGGTAAAATTAAGACTAAATAAGTGTTTAATGGAAAAGGTGTTGTGCTGTGTCTTCTTGCCATTAAAGAGCAATCTTATTGCCTTACCGCTCTCTCCATTCATGTACATGCATACATACACAAATAAATCTCTGTTTACTAGTTTTTAACCAAAGCACTTAAACAACAATGGCTGACTAAATGCTACTATTAAGTCATGATCAACATACACAGGTTTTGCATTAATTGTCCTTTATTTAGTTCATTTTTTTGTTATTTATCACAAATCCATTATAACACTGCCTTTGTCATTTCAGTCTTTGGAAAAGAAAAGAAAACATGGAAAATACTGTTTTCTATATTCAGATACAAACCTGTAAAGATAAAGATCTTGTAGTGGCAATTCCTTCCTTCAACACACAATAAGGTGTTTTATTAGACTTTCAGTGTACACACATCTAAATTTATGTTCAATTAATGTGCAAGATTTAGGTTAAAAGCTGTTTCAAAGCAATGGTACAATGTCTCTAAATAATTCCTCTGTTATCAGTGCTATAATTTCACCATCTTACCAAGCCCCACAACAACCCTTAGAGCCCAAAGGTAGTTTCTTCGTACTCGAGTTCGAGTTGGTTTACTGTTCCCCATCAAATCAGCATAAATATCTCTAATAAATACAAAGGACTTGCTTTGACTTGACATATGTACACTTGACATCTGATCAATCTAAAATGATATCTGTGTAAACCAGTGTGGAATCAGTAGCTTGTGTATTGCATGTCCAGAGATATTCCAGTTTTCTTGTCAGTGCATCATTCTCTTCTACTCTGCCTTTTCATCTTTTGTGTCCATCTCAGTAAGAACACAGTAGCACACCTTCTGAATGAGAATACCCGAAGATGCTGGTGAAGAGTGAATGAAAATAGACATACACATATTAGTTTTAGGAGCAATATCTGAACTCTAAACCTAAACCACTATTAGGAGACTTACCAATAAACTTCCTGAGCCACATAGGCCTACGTGTGGCAGGTAGATGGCAGCACAGGAAGTAGACGGGGACTCCCGATAAAGCAATGGCAATGCCGATTAATGAGTTGATAGTGTCGCTATATAGAGGCACCACCACTAGAAAAACTGTGCAGAGGCAGAATATAATTGGGAAGAACAGGCTGAGCTGAAAGAAGAAAGAAAAGGTAAGATAAATGAGAGGGTTTAAGCCCCGTTCACACCAAGAACGATAACGATATTAGCGTCCACACCAGCGAACGATATCATCTGTTTATTCTAAGCGCACATGCGTCTACCTCTTTATTAAATTCTTGAGCTCGTTACAGCAGGATGGATTCTGATTGGCTGTCAATCTTTTATAGTTCATCAGCTGGAGAAAAATCGGTTTGAAAGTGATTCCAACGATATCGTTTCTCTTTGTCTTTATCGTTATATTTGTTGTGTGGACTCTGCTATTCTTTAATATTGAGAACGATTTTTAGAACTATATCTTTATCGTTATCTTTATAGTTATCGTCCATGGTGTGAACGGGGCTTTGACTGTGCTATTATTCAATAAATCTTCTTGAGTAAACTTTTTAAAGGAATTTCTGTTAGTAGTTCGCCTCACACAACGCAAATCGTATTTTGGCGTTCCTTTGTGATGTGAAGCATAAATCTTTAATAAAGATAAGAGTAATGACAGCACGTTTGGTTTGTTTATGTACTGCACGAACGGTTTCCGACTTCTGTTTGCGAGCGTATTTACATGAACTATATAGCTTCTGGCTTCGCTACCGTTCGGGCGTTCTTGCTTACTGCTCTGCGCTTTGCTTCCTATTTCTGTACTTTTCTCTGATTTTTCTAAGATTTTTACTTCAGCAGATCAGCACAGTGCTCAAACAACACATTTTTGGCACAAACACTAAAACTAAAAACTCTTTGGGACTGGAATAATACCACGAAAAAGAAGACTTTGCCTCCCACTGCCAGCAGCCTACATTCCGGAGACACAGCTGGAAAACACAGCTGTCTACATTCAAACAGAAGGCTTCCAGAAGAGATCAGATGTGCTAAAACATTAGTCACATTTAAATGCAACTCAAAACTCATCTGTTTAGCTGTGCATTTACTGAATGAGCACTGTGCAATGTCCGAACTGATTGCACTATATTTTATGTATAATAATTTTCTATTCTTAACTGTTTTAAATTCATTTTAAACCTCTTAAATCAATTTTTAAATCAATTTTTAAATCATTTTCAAAGTTTTAAATTCCTTGTTTTATTGTTGTGATTCTTTTTTTATTATTTTTTCCTTTCTTTTACTTTTGGGTAAAACTTTTGATGGTATTGAAATGCAGGAACACTATGGAAATTAATACATAGTTATTTATAAATATTACATTCCTTTAAGATCACACAGTGCGAAAGGCACGCGTAATACAATTTACTTTTTAAATGTTTATCAAACAGCCTCTGACCAAACCTACTCACGTGAAAATAGATGTATTAATATATTAATGGTATATAATATATGGTAACACTTTATTTTAAGGAGTCCTTGTTACACGTTACATGTAGGCTACTTACTAATATAATTACTTAATTATTATATTAATTATGCATAATTACATGCAACCCTAAACCAAACCCTAATCCTAACCCTAACCGTATAGTAAGTACATGTAGTTAATTAATATTACTCAGTACTTAAATGTATAAATGCACTGTAACAATTGTTACAGTGCACTTATTCATTTAAGGACTGAGTACATTTAAGTACTAAGTCCTTAAGGACACATTAAAATAAAGTGTAACCCAGAGGTTCTCAAACTTTTTTGGTCGTGCTATGGAAATTAATACATAGTTATTTATAAATATTACATTCCTTTAAGATCACACAGTGCGAAAGGCACGCGTAATACAATTTACTTTTTAAATGTTTATCAAACAGCCTCTGACCAAACCTACTCACGTGAAAATAGATGTATTAATATATTAATGGTATATAATATATGGTAACACTTTATTTTAAGGAGTCCTTGTTACACGTTACATGTAGGCTACTTACTAATATAATTACTTAATTATTATATTAATTATGCATAATTACATGCAACCCTAAACCAAACCCTAATCCTAACCCTAACCGTATAGTAAGTACATGTAGTTAATTAATATTACTCAGTACTTAAATGTATAAATGCACTGTAACAATTGTTACAGTGCACTTATTCATTTAAGGACTGAGTACATTTAAGTACTAAGTCCTTAAGGACACATTAAAATAAAGTGTAACCCAGAGGTTCTCAAACTTTTTTGGTCGTGCCCCCCCTTTAAACCTATAAAAAAATCTGGCGGGCACGCCCCACACTTTGAGAAACACTGGTGTAACCTAATATATTACTATTTGTGATATATAATATATTAATGCATATAATTTATGATGACTACAACAGCAGAATGCCAGATATTTACATTTCACAACTGTGACTTTATTAGTCATAATTGCAACTTTCTAGGCTATATTACAAATTGCAACTTTATATCTCACAATGTGGCTAACACAGTGTGACTTTAATTGACGCAGTGTGACTTTATATGATGCCATGATATTATTTATTTAAAATGTTATCTCACAAACAGGTCCCTATTTTTTATTTTAATTATTTATTTATTTTTTAACTCTGAGGCAGAAACTGGCTTCAATAAGCATCCCTTCAGTGTTGCATGTGTTGCTGGATTTAGCTTCCTCACACAAAAATACAAAATAATACATGGCAGACGCTTATTTGTGTGGTTACCTTTAGTGGTCGTGGTCTGTCCGGTTGTTTCCATCGTAGGTACAGCTGTCCCAGGATAGACAGACCCACAAAGAACCAGTAGCTGAAGCTGTAGTAATTGATCAGTTTAAAGACATCTTCCACACACAGGTACACAAGAGCCATGGCACCCTGTCACACAACAGGACATTTGAGATGTTAACATTTGAGAATACCTAAACAGATTTACAGACATTAATGGTGACTATAAAGACATGGAATACAGACAAATACATGATGTTAAGAGGAAAACACAGGATTGAAACAGAACATTAGTACATGTAATACAGCATATTATGACACAGATGGAGATGATGAGATGGGAACTGACATTGAAGAGTAGGGCAGGGATGGGGGTGAAGCGTGTGACATGAATCATGCACAGGTAGTCTGGCAGGTGGCCCTCTCTGGAGCCCACGAAGAATAACCTGAGTAGAGATACGCAAATGAGAAATGAGCTGAGAATGAAACGGTGCCTGAGATGAAATAATGTGGTGAATCAGATGGCATCAATAACACTGGTTATGTGTTAGATACTACTCACCTTGATGCAGCAACTATTGAAGCATTTAATCCTCCAAAGCAGGAGAAGGCAACAGCGACTGGTATTGTCCAATTAAAATACCCAAATACCTGGTCTGCAAATGTCTGTGAATTAAAAATTGAATTAGCCAAGAAAAAAGAAATCAACATTTTCTTTATTCAGCAAGAATGCATTAAACTGATCAAAAGTGACAGTAAAGGCATTTATAATATTTTTTTTCCCAAATAAATGCTTTTTAACTTTCTATTCACTAAAGAAGAATGAAAACATATTATGGTTTCCACAAAAAATAGTTAGCAAAATATTACAATGATTTCTTAAGTATCTTGTGATAGTGAAGACTGGAGTAAGGGCTGCTGATAATTCAGCTTTGCCATTACAGGAATAAACTATATTTCAAAAAATATATTCAAAAGAAAATTTAAAATTGTAATAATATTTCACAATATTACTGTTTTTTACTTATTTGATCGAATAAATGCAGCTTTGGTGATTATAAAAGACTTCTTTCAAAATCTTACCGAACCTAATCTTTTGAACAGTAGTGTATGTTATTGTATTGCTCTTTTTTTAAATTAATAAAAACATATTCAAATGACCACCAGAGATAAATACTCACCACAGCTACGGCGTCACTGTCCAGGATGGCAGGAATAGGCAGGATTGTATAGTAAGCCAAATTGGTAAGAATGTAGATCACTGTGACAATGGGCATGGAGATAGCAATGGCCAGCGGGAGATTTCTGCAAAACAAGATGACCACCAGAGAGCAGCAGAATGCATTATCATGCATACAATACCTGGCCTGTAAACCGTTACAATTAAGCCTACAACTCTCAAAGCTCTTAGAGGAACACTTTGCCTAATGCTGACAAATGTGTTTCACATGTCCACAGATTTTTTTTTTACTTCTACCCAGAGGCCCAAATGGAGAAGTGCTTGGATAGTTTGTGGGTAGGAAGGTTGAAGGAGAGCTCTTGTCACATAACAGACCTGAGCATCCCACAAAAAGGCATGTGATCCAATCACATGTTTGCTGTGTTCAATTAGACATTCAGTGATTTGACAGACAGACAGACAGACAGACAGATAGATAGATAGATAGATAGATAGATAGATAGATTACCTCTCAGGGTTTTTGATCTCCTCTGTGACAAAGTTGAGCGTGTCCCATCCAGAGTACGAGAAGAGAGCAGAATACAACGCCAGAGCCGCATCACCTGGATCCAGAGATGAACCTGAGAAGAGCCCTTCAAAATTCTGTGTGTAACCTAGACCACAAACACACACAGAAACCAACATAGTCAGATTATGTCATTTATACAGATACAAAGTTAAACACTTGTGTAAAAAGTCTTTACCCTGAAATATCTTGACCAGCCCAGTGATGATGACAGCGATGAGGGCGATGACCTTTGCGTACGTGAAGAAGTCCTGAACGCGTGTTCCATACTTCACATAGGCACAGTTCACAAAGGTCAGCAAGCCTACAGAACAAACACAGGTCAAGATGACTTTTATTTTTTGACTTGCACAGGCCCTGGTGCTTTTGTGCTCAGGGTGGATATCTATTAGTACACCCAAAAATGTCATCATTTACTCACCCTCATGTCATTCCAAACCTGTATGCATATCTTTTTTCTGCTAAAAAAGAACATATTTTGAAGAATGCTGATTACCAGTTTTGATTCCCATTGACTTCCATTGTACTTTTTGTTAATGGAATTCAATGGGAACCAAAATGGTTTAGTTACCAACATTCTTCAAAATATCTTCTTTGTGGTCCACAGAAGAAATGAAGTCATACAGGTTTGGAATGACATGAGGGTGAGTAAATGATGGCAGGCTGTTAATTTTTGGTAGGACTATGCCTTTAAGGATCCACATGGGTGTTCTTGTGAGTCTAGTCACAACATCACTGCAATAACATGAAATGGATACGGTCTTCCCGTTTTCCAAGAGGATCAATGATCTTCAGGGGTCAGTTTGTTCTTGATTTGTGTGAGAGGTTCAGACATAGGGAGCGTGTGAGCGAGTGTGTGTGTGTGATCGTGTGTGTCTTTTGTAAGGTAGTCTTCCTGGCTTGAGGAAGCAGGGCTGCTGACTGTAGCACTCCTGCTGGTTGTTTTGCAAGGAGCGAAATAGCTTAGAGCAGCACTAAAGTTTGCGTGCGTGAGCGGGGCATTTTTTCTGTCATACACAAAATCCAGCTGTAAGCACCTGCGCTTTGATACTGCATTCCATGAGGGCGCATGCAAACAATTCAGAACAGATATGTATTGCTTTGTATCGCAAATACCCCTTGATGGTGCATTCATACAGGAAATAAAACAGTGGAAACTGAACTGAAATTGAGAGTAAGAGTGGGCAGTTTGTGTTAAGTAGCCTTAACTGCAAATGAGGAAATTACAATGTGTCACGTGACTTGCTAACTCTTACAAGATACTGTCACTGTCTGACCCAATATACAACTGGAACAAACAATAAAATATGTGGATGTTACAATTATCTAGGGTCACATTTCTAAAAAAAAAAAATGTCTTGTTCCCACTTCAACTTATCTGTTATGGCTGCTATCAATGTTGCCTCAAGTTCATAAACTGCTCGCACACCCGTTTCTAATCTACAGTCTCTCTGCTCAAGGAGGACAGATAGCACAGAGACAGACATGTGTCTCATTCCTGTATGGTTATGTCATCTTTTAAAATGAATAAACAATGAAAATGTAAAACTAACATCATTCACTTTCACTGTATAGAAACTAATATCTAATATGTTAGATAACGAATATCTAATGTTGTGTTTCATGTGGTTAAAACGACATGAATAAGTGATGACAAAATGTTCATTTTTGAGGTGAAACATTCCTCTTTTTTTGTGGAATATGTCTATGTTATAATGTGTTTATATTTTTTAGATAAGCTAAATATTAAGTATGCTTAAAGGGATAGTTAACCCAAAATGAACAACATTCTTTCATCATTTTCTCACTCTCATGTCACACCAAACCTGTTTGATATTCTTTCTTTCTGTGGAAGATAAAAGAAGATATTTTGATAAATGATATAGATAAATATTGATAAATGTCATATTTTTCCCCTTACAATGGAAGTCTGTGGTCACCAAAACATGGTGTTTACCGTTTGTCTTCCACAGAACAAAGTAAGTCATACAGGTTTGGAATGACATGAGAGCAGGCAAATTATGACAGAATTTTATTTTCGGTTGAACTATCCCTTTAGGACAACTATTAATAATATTAACATTGTTAACATTACTGTGCCTTTTATCAAAAGAGTAGTACACATTGTATTTGTAAGGAAAGACAGAAATGAAAGTGTGTCTTTTTCCTGAGATTCTAGATGTGTCTACTGAGACGGTTATCGCACTCCCTCTCAATGTGCTTTCGGCTCTATTCCATTAACTATTAGTCATAAGGGCAAGATTGTTAATCGGAAGGACTTTACCTTCCAGAAATCAGCAAGTTCTTGGTAGTGCTTCTTATCTTTCAATGAAGCATGCATGTGTGTGTCTGTGTTGCAAGCAGATTAACTTAATTTAGATTTGTGGGTATAATAATATTTGTGGTAAAATATATTTGTGGGTATAATAATATAATTTTTAGTCTGGCAGAAAATATCTTGATCTAGATTCAAGTTTCTCAAATGCTTCACAGTTTAAACATCTCTTTTGTCTGACAAACCTGGGTAAATGCATGACCAGGGCCGAGGACAACAAAACCATTGATCTAGATCAGTGGTTTTCAATCCTAGTAATGGGGACCCACCGCTTATTTGTATGTCTCCCTTATTTAACACACCTGGTTCAGATCATCAGCTCATTAGGTGAGAGCTTGATGAATTCAGCTGAGTGTGTCAGGACCATGATTGAAAGCCATTGATCTAGATCAGTGGTTCTCAAACCTCTCCATGAAGTACCCCCAGCACTGCACATTTTGTATGTCTCCCTATATCTGACACACCCACTTCAGGTCTTGCAGTCTCCACTAATGAGCTGATGAGTTGAATCAGGTGTGGTAGATGAGGGAGACATACAAAATATGCAGGGCTGGGGGTACTCCAGGACAGGTTTAAGAACCACTGATCTAGATTATGATGGGTTTGAAAAAATTCTCCGATTTCAAAATTTCATGCATGTCTGTGCTGAGCGAGATGAATCATGTGAATGTAACCCTCAACATCAGCAGCACTGGTCTGACGCATTCTCTTCTCCTTCCCTTTTCCACTCAACATCAAATACTGACAGGCTTTCATTATTGCTTATAACGTCATCATTTCTTTTTTCTCCCCTTACCAAAAAGTACAGTGATGGTACCATAGTAAAGTGGTATGGTATCAGATGATAATACCATAGATCTTTTTTACTTTGTTTGTGTCTTTTGAACTTGATATATGTCTCGTGATGTTTTATGCCACTTCGTGCACTCTTGCTGTCTGTGGTAAAATTAAATGTAGCTCTGTGTTTATGTAATAGTAAGCTGCTACCTACTACCCACTTCCTGTTGCCAGTTTTCTCACTGTTCACACAGTCTTTCAGTGTTACCTACTTTCCCAACAAACATTCAATGAATGCAGAAATGCGATTAAGCTTTGAATTCAAGAGCTAATTAAACCCAAAATGTTTAATTATGTCATCATTTTCCTTTTACACACCCTTATGTAATTCCACTTTCTTTTTTCTGTAGAACGCAACAGGAGAAATGTTGAGAAATGGCCATTTTTTGACATTAAAAAAAGAAAGTAACAAACTGTCAAGCTCCAAACTGGCATAAAACCACCATAAAAATATCACAAACATAGTCCACTTGACTATATTGCAACTTTTTGAAATTTTTGAGGAACAGATTGAAATATAAGTCGCTACACAGTGGCAAAGCACATGAACGTTCAAAGGTTTGGGGTCGGTGATGTCTCTTATGCTCACCAAGGCAGAAAGAAATATAGTAAATTGTAATATTGTGAAATATTATAGCAATTTAAAATATTAATTTTGATATTAATGTATTTTAATGCAATTTATTCTTGTGATGGCAAAGCTGAAGTTTCAGCATCAATTACTCCAGTCTTCAGTGTCACAAGATCCTTCAGAAATCATTCTAATATGCTGATTTGGTGCTCAAAAAAACAAAAAAACATTTCTGATTATTATCAATGTTAAAAACAGTTGTGCTGCTTAATATTTTTGTGGAAACCATAATGCATTTTTTTTTAAAGATCCTTTTATGGAAATAAAGTTCAGATAAACAGCATTTATGATTAATTGAATGCATCCTTCTTTCAAAAAAAATAAATAGATAAATTACAGAACCCCAAACTTTTGAACAGCGGTGTATATTCTTCAAAATTTCTCCTTCTGTGTTCCACTGAAGCAAAACAAAATCATACGGTTTTGGAATGATAGATTCTGGATTTGTGATTCATTCTTTTAGCTCAAATTTTCTTCTTAAAGACTTGAGGTCCACAAACCTTCACAGGTAACCTACAAGAGAAACTCCCAAACATATACACACACATCCACATGCATCAACTCACATATGCAGGCTGCAGCCAGCAGACGATTGGCCACGTAGGGTGCTATACACGTGGGGAAGATGGGCTGCACCATGTAGTTGGAAAAGGTGATGGCTATCACAGCCTGACTGGTGGGCTCGATGATCAGAAGAGAAGTCCATAGACGGATGAAAGCCAAAAAGCCTCCAAAGGCCTCCAGGATGTAGGCGTAGCTGGCACCTGACTTGGTGATGGTGGTCCCGAGCTCAGCATAACAGAGCGCCCCGAACACCGAGAAGATCCCACCAATTGTCCACACTAACAAAGACAACCCATAGGAGCCACTGTACATCAGTACGCCTTTGGGTGAGACGAAGATCCCGGAGCCGATCATGTTTCCCACGATGAGACATACGCCATTGAGCAAAGATATTTCTTTTTTCAGTTTCATGGACTCCTGCGAGCTGCTTGCCTTCAGGTTTACGTCCAACACCTCTGAGGACTGCTCCTCCGTGGGTGCAGGGCTGTAGGACGCCATTGTTTTAAAGGGCCGATGGGTTGGATGATACAAAAAAAGACTGTCTAAACCAGTTCTACAGTCAGCTACAAGGGTTTTAGGAAGTTCTGCAAAGTTCCCAGCTAGTTCTTGAGATCTTTAGGTGACATCTGGGGAAAACAGAAGAAGAGTGTTCAGTATTTATACACACATGCACACTCATATAATAATCTCCAAAGAAACAGGGCAGTCATAAAGAGCTCACATACACACTCTTGCTTTTCAAATGTACATATGGCTATTACAGATCCATTAGATGTCATGGCAAATGGCTTTTTAAAGGTGTGTAAACAGAGCCGCACAGAGAAAAAGGTCTACATGTAAGAAAAACATCCAGCTTGCTCATATTCCTTACTGCGTGAGACAGGATTGTGTGTCTTAGCCAACGGCTTAATCAATCACCATCCCTGACGTGGACATTGATCCACCTGATCTCTAGTCCACCAAGACCCAAGACCAAATGGAGGGATTTTTAATACGTCAAGTCCAATTCAACTCTCTCTCGTTTTATCTCTCTCTCACTTTTAGCATGGAGACTTCTTGGTGCGTCAGCATGCTGATCTGTCACATGCTCCTCAAGGTTCAATGGACTCAAAAGAGCTACGCTCAAGAGCACAGGCTGCGAAACGTCTTCACATGACGATATTAAAAACATGCACATACAGGAACATAAGTAGTTAATTTACAGCTTGTATTTTTGAAGCTCAAAGTTGAGAGCCATTATTGCCGACTATGCCAAACTGTACACTGACAAGGCATAATTTTGGCATAGGTGAACTAATAAGATTTAATGACATCCTGAATTCTGAATGGAAAGTGAATGGGAATTTTGCATTGTTATACATTATACATTATGGCTGTAGAATTCCGGGTCACCTGATTGTTTAAATTCTAATTTTATAAAAAGGTAGTTTAAACTGTAGAAATTGTTGCATGCCATTTTAGACCTGTTGACCCTTAGAATCATTCCCACCTTTCACACACTAACTCCAGCAGTGGTATAGATCTGATTAATTGCCCTGTGTAATGGTTGGGAAGGTCTTATCACAAAAGAAGAAAGCTGCATTCAGGAAAGACAAAAAGAGATAGAGAGGATGATTAAAGAACTGAGATGAGTGGGTGGACAGTAGGCAATTACTGCAGTGATAATTAAACAGCCACACCAATGCAAGATCTTTAGGGACCAGAGAGCAAGGTTCAGGACATGCTGATAAGCGCTCTGAAAAAAACCAACTACAAAACACAATCACTCAAGGTTACAGCCTAAGCAACCATAGCCTTGCTGTACAGCAGAATATTAAGTGAAAATGATTTTTTTATCAGTGCACTATATAAACTGTAGTGTAAACTACTTGCCATATCTATGAAAAGACAATTGTAATGTACAGTAAGCTTGTCCATAAAACCTGTAAGTATACAATGTGCATTTTACAATGAGGTCTATGTAATTAAAGCTTTATGAAATAATAATTCTGGCTTTAAATGACGGCAAGTACAGTTGAGCGGAACGGTTTGCATTACCTTTTCATCCAGGTGCTGAACTGGCATCAGGATGCAGCTTGTACTGATGCTTTATCTGCCGTTCATTTTCGTAGACACGATCGAAGTCGGTGTGCAGTTCATGTTATTTCGCCGCGTGAGATCTCAGTCATATGGTCTCTGTCACAGCTCGCGCTCGAGTTCCCTTCCGTTCAGACGTTTGAAGGAGATTGATGAACTTCTGCTCTCAGTCAAATACAGACTGCAAACACAGACAGCGAGTAAGGGGAGGAGAAAAGAGACTGCTAGCACAGCTGTCTCTAAACTACTGAACCATTAAAATGAGCGTCTGGATGAACTTATGATAAATACCATATAAACGGACCTCAAAATGAAGGACATTGTGTACTCGAGACATTAAGGTAAGCTGTCTGAATAGCCTATAAAGCACTGTTATAGTAAGTAAACTAAAACGATTCAAAATCGATATATTTGATATATAGGCTAGCTGAAATTAAATCAAATATAAATACTAGATGAAAAACGTCAACTAAACAAAAAATTTGAATGAAAATTAAAAATGTTGGTAACTAACTGAAAGTTGAAGGCTGCTAAAATACTCCACTACTGAAAACAAATTAGAGCTATATAATTTTTTTTTAAATGAATAGAAATGACAAAAGTACATGACAAAATGACTAAAGAAATATGAAAACAAAAGCTAATTCAAAGTATTAATATGTACTGTATAAAAATAATAATAAAAAAAATTCATATAGCCTGCAATTGAATATGGATGTCTATTGGCTTCTCGGATAGAATACTTAAAAAAAATATATATATAGGCTAGAAATATAGAGTAAAACGTGTGACAAGCCCCGAGTCATCTATGTGAATGGAAATTAACTAAAGAAAAAAAATAAGATGATATTATAGCCATCGTTTTGGAGAGGTTTTATAGGCTATTCATATCTTGTATATTTATCTTTTCTAAAAAATGAATAGAAAAAAAATGTTGTAAACATTTTTTAGGATTGGTTTGAATTTCAGCCATCTTGCCTACTGAATGTTGTATTTCCCCATATAGCATATATGAAAATTATGTAATTCTCAAAACGAGTGCTTGCAACTACTTTTGAATGTTTACAGTACACACCTGTGTATGTGTCGCCATCGTGTGGTTAAAGTGGGATGTTACTCTACATCTACATCTGTACGATTTCCCATTGTTGCTGTTTTTACTGGTACTTTAGTAGCCAACTTTAAATGTTATCTAGTTTATTATTGCAACTTTTGTTTTTTTTTTGGCTAGTATTTATTTTTGGAACTTGATTATGGCAAGATACTTATTAAAATGCCATAAATGAAAAAAAAAAATCAAACAAATAGTAAACATAAAAGTTAAATATGCTTATCATGTATAAACAGACTAAATGCAGTTGTACAATCGTTTACAAATATATTGTGGGGTTACTGGTTTATGAGTCTAAATGGAAAGAAGCTTTACTTTACATGACTTCATAAATTAATCTTTTAAAGACCTTTGACAACTGCTCTTTTTTAGAACCATTCATCACATCTTGCCTCATAAGGCACTACATTTTGGCATATTTGGCACTGTCTCCTGAAGATTTCCTTATTTTTGATTGAGACATGTCTTTATCCCTTCCTGAATGCATGTGGACAAACTTCTACCACATGCCTTGTTTCTGGCTCATTGTTCGTCTCCCTCTCAACCTCAGAATTTCTCTCCTTGGTTACAGGTTGTCATGGTTTCGAGGGCCTGGCAGAGGCAGGATTAGGAGCCATTTTAGGGACAGCTGGCCAGGTCGGTCTCCACCTCCCCTTCATCCCGCGCAGAGACGCTCAGGGGGGATGAGGGGGGACATTGTGCGAGGATTAGAGCTTCCTGTGTGTCAGCCGCATTACACAGGGGGGGTGGGAAGGAAAGAGAGTGAAAGAGGCAAAGAATGAAAGAGAAAATGAAAGAGCGAGCATATGAAAGAGAGCATGACACAGAAAGCGAGAGGGTGTTTGAGGGGAGGGAGTGAAGTCTGTACAGCTGCACACTCAATCACATTACACAAGTGTGTGTGTGTGTGTGTGTGTGTGTGAACAAACACACACAACATACACACATACTGCCATCAACATGCACACCACCAATCTGGGAAACTAAAACATAAAAGGAAGCAGACTTTTTACAAAAAAAGGGGGGCGGGGTGAATGAAGACAATTGCTGAAGAACAAAGTCCCTTGGAACAACAAAAACAACAAAAACAACAAAGATCCTTGTCGGATGTTGAAAATAGCTTAACAGGTGGCAGTTTTGTGTTCAATGCAATTCGAATAATGCACATACATTAAAAAAACAAAAGCACAAATCTTGAGACATTCATTCGGACTTTATTTCTCTTCTTGACAAGTTAGGACCACATTACATCCAATAAAATTACAACACAAAGTTGTTAGAGTTCAACAGGGCCAACAAAGTTGCTTCAACCTTCAAGATTACAAAAATATTGAAAGCTTTAAATCTTTAGCAATTTTGAGCTGCTTTTGCTCATCTGCAGCATTGTGAAAACTAATATGATTTGCTGTTTTTCATAGTCAACAATAAAAAAAAAACTTAATACATACAAATCAGTGGGGATTTTAAATAAAGAAAGTTGAAGAACAGGCATTGTGCAGAAAGTAAATCTGACCCTCTCAGCAATTCAATCCCATCATCGTCATCTTAAACCTCCCTTGTCAATAAGAGTTTCAGCAGTCACAGATATAGTGCAGCTATTTAGAGAAATACCTACAAAGTACAGCAGCATAAAAGTAGATAAAAACAGGGTACATAAAACAAAATTGATATTTACATTCAGCTGCACATCAGTTGATCAGTTTTGGTATGATCCCTATAATCCTCTCTCATCTCACACATCGGGTCAGTCCCTTTTTTCCATAGATTTTGCTCAAAATTATATATATTTTTTATGTTTTACATGTATTTTTACGAGTATCCTGAAGTTCCAAATTGATTTCTGAAATTGCACTTAGACACACAATTAATTTGCTTGTCATTTGTTATACACAAATACTATATTCAAGATCCAATTTCTGTGCATCCTGATATTTGAAGTCGAAAGACCAAGTCTTTATCAATATGATTTAATTGTCTTCATGAAAAGGCACCACTATTACATATGGACTGATTTACTAATGTTTTACAATATCAAACAATTAAAAACTACTCCTAACCACAAAGTTGAAAAAAAAAAAAGTTGACAGAAATCAGTAAACAAGAATAGTGCTAAAACCTAACTAATCACATTCTTTTAAGCAGTGTCTTCAGGCCTGTCGTCAGTAGTAGACACCGGATGCTCAAACAAGGACAATTTATTTGTACTTTTCTCTGACATGTTTTTAGCATCCTCTCCTCTCAGTTTTTGATGGGTCAACTCCTCCGCACGCTCCACAACTTTTCCCTCAGAGGACTGTGAGGATGCAGTACTGGCCAACTGATTCATACTTCCGCTGTGGATTTTCATATGCCCCTGTTGAAACACATAGAAGTTATAAGTCTTGTTTCTAACATAAACATGAATATTTCATAGATATAAATGTCATCTAACATTCCATCTTTTTCAGAATAGCACATTAATCTATGTACCTTCAATCCACTGCGGCTAGCATACTCTTTTCCACACTCTGTGCAGCTGTAAGGTTTCTCTGAGCGCTGTGGTTGTGGAGGGGCTACAGGGGTCTCTGATGATGTCACTTCGGTCTTTTCTCTATCTTTCCTTTGATCCTCTTCTGCCGACTCTTTTGAATCCTCAGCTTTCCTTTTCTGATTTACGGCTCTGTCTGGAATGTGCAAAGAAGCATTCTCTGTGGCTTGGTGAGAGTCAGCATCATTGGGCTCAAGAACATGGTCGATTCCATTCACATGAAGCGTTGTCTGCTCGCTGCTTTGGTCTGACTTTGACTCAGTGGACAACCCTGGGCTGGAGGGTGGAGTGAGGGCGGGTGACAGATTGAGAGCTTCAGAGTTTAAACTAGCTTTTGGCCCGCTAATCACTGTTTGATGTGAAGCGCCATTGTGCCATTTTTTATCAAATAAGGTGTCCTGGGAGTTGGTCCGGGTACAGAGAGATAAAGGCGTGTCTTCATCCTCTTCTGCAGAGCCATTGACAACTTGAGATTTGCTCTGATGGACTGTGCCATAATGGTTCTCATCTGAATTGTCAGGTGGACTGTTTTCTCCTGAGGGGCCCTCCTTCTCCAGGGTGACGGTTGGAATAGTCTCAGGTGTGTTGTCATAGGGATCTTGATCTGACTCCATGAGCTGATCTGCATCACCTGATGCAGTATCTCTTAGGCTAGCACCAGACTCCAGTAAGCTGGCAGAGGAAGACATGCTCATATTTAGAGGAAGAGACTGAAGATTTTTGGGTAAAGAAACCCCATCCATTTGACCAGGGTCTTCCTCTGACTGCAGGTCCCCATTACCTTCCGGAGGCAACTGCCCCCCCAGATGCATCCGAATGTGATGCTGCAGTACCACAGCATTGGTAAACTTGCGGTGACAGAGCGGGCATGAATTCTGGCCCCGTGCATTGGCTGGACGTGCTCTGTGTGTGGCCAGATGAGCCCTTAGGCTTCCCTTTGTGGAGAAGGAGCGGCCACAGAGTTTGCAGGGGAATGGACGTTCACCTAAGTGAGTGGCCTGGTGGAGACGTAATGCCCTTGGGCAGCTGAGGACACGGAGGCATACCCCGCACTGATTAGGAACCAAAGAGGAGGCAGTTGACCCTTGGAGCTTTTGGCTGGCAGGCTCACCGCTGGGATTCGGGTTCAGCCCTAAGGCTGCCATCATCTCCCTCCTGTAAGCTGAGATAACATTAGCGTTGGAGGTTGTGGATATGTCATTAGCCCGAGCCTGGCCTTCATTGGTGCTTTTTGGGAGGGGCTGCTTCTCTAACTTCTGCGCCAGTCTCTGCAGCTTGGAGGTGTCAGAGGTGGCGGAGGATGAGGATGGAGAGGAGGAGGGAGGAGAGGAGTTTTGAGGTTTGTGGTATGAGGAGAAAGGGAAGGTAAGTGGGAGGTGTGGGGAAGGGAGGTGAGGAGGGCGAAGAAGGGCAAGGCTAGGATGGTGGGCAGAGGGCCCTGATGGGAAGAGAATCTTTGGAAGATGTGCCAGCTGGGAATATGGAGAAC